GTTTCTTTAAAGGGATAGTTCACCTAAAAATGAAAATGATGTCATCATTTACTCATCCTTGTGTTGTTCCAAACCTGTATGAATGTTTTTTTTCTGTTAAACACAAAAGAAAATATTTTGAAAAATGTGGGTAACCAAAAAGTTGACGGTAGCCATTGACATCCATAGTAACCCACTGTTTGGTAACCTATATTTTACTTTTATGCTTAACAGAAGAAAGAAGCTTGTTCAGGTTTGGAATGACATAAGGGTAAATAAATAATGACAGAATTTTTATTTTTGGATGAACTATGTCTTTAAGAAATTAGTTTAATAAAAGTATCAGTCAGTCACTTACGTCATTCCTGAATTATGTTTTCGAACCAGTAGGTTGAATGAATGATTCAGTGGCTCATTTGTTTTGTTCCTGAATGAGTCAGTGTTTTTTGAATGAATCAGTTGAATGAATGATTCAGTGATTCACAGTTATTTACAGTTTTTTACGATTGCTTAAGCACAATTTTGAAAACAGGGCCCGGTTTGTCAAAACACTACACACAATTAACACAACCCTACACCAAAGTAGCACAACACTTCAGATCATTTGCAACACACACACACACACACACACACACACACAGACACACACACACACACGCAGGTCCTACATGATGAACTCAAAAACAGGATCCACTGTATTTTGTTTAATACTTTTAATGAGGAAGAGGATGGTGTTATAGTTCAGTCTTGTCTTTGGGTGTCTCCTCTTTCTGCTTCTGTTGGAAAGAAAATAAACTCAGACTGTCAGTATGTGGATGTGTTAAGCATGTTTCTTCATCTGCTTACACACAAAATCTTCACTCGTCACACAATCTCTGAAAGCTGACACTCAAACAGCAGAAACACACACCAAATCTGCAAAACCATACACTAATTCTCAGCCTTTGACTCAGTTTTCATTTTCATAAAACACTTTTTGCAAAACACAACACACAGTTCTCTATCTAACACACACAAACATCTCTCTTGATTTCACTTTCAAACACAACTAATCAAAACGCCACATTAATTCATCACTAACTCCTCACATGTGCTTCACTGAACACCAACCAATCAATAAATAAATCTTTGGTTCTGTGTAATACTGTATTCACAACCACAGATGCTTACAGTAAAAATAGTTTGCTTTCAATCTTGCGTTCGTGTTTTCTGTGAATTTTTCCGCATCTCTGCAGATTACTTTCAGTCTTGTACAGAAATGTTCACAGGAGCTCATGAAAGAAGAGCTTTAGGTTTTGAATAACTGTGTGTATGATATATCCAAAAATATAATATTACGGCAAAGGTGTTTGCAACATAAAACAAATGTTTGCTTTTGAGATGTGTTTGTGATATTTTAAATGCAGTGCTTCGTTTTGCAAGAGATGCGAGACATTTGGCATTTTGTGTGCAATTCTTGGATTTGTGTGTCCAGTTTTGAAAAAAAGAGGCAAAGTTTTGAAAATGTGTGTGTGAGCCGTTGAAAACAACGGTAATAAGATCCAGCACCGCTGACCTCACGCTGACCTCACCTGCAGTTCTCCATCCAGGAAGGAGTCACAGAAGTCCTGCACGCGCTCAGTAGTGATTTCTCCCGGCGCCAGGAGCCACTTCTTGTCCGAGACACCATCGTAAAGGCCGATCCGCGGCAGATCACCAGACTTCAGGCCGAAGTATTCCAGCACGCGAGCGTTCGACTTCTCTTGTCCGTTTACCAGCACAAACAACATCTGCATTTCACAAAACACATTCACAAGTCATTTTGTGGAATAGTCTTTTAATGTTTAGTTAAATAGTGCTGTTCATCACAATCCCTGCTGTAAAAAACAATAGAAATGATGATCAGAGAAGTCCTAATGGCTTCCACTAAAAATACCATTACAAACATTACAAACCATCAACGGTTAACCATTCATTTCCAGTAGCAGTGTTGCCAGGTTTGCCTAGATTTTGATTGCAAACGGTTCGCTGTAGGTTAATCTTTCCTGCGGTTTAAAGGTTTGACATATAGCAGAAACTGTAATGCGAATATCGAAATATTTTACATTCCATCAATGATAAAACTGTGTGAGATTTTGAGTATTGTGAGGGACTCCTTTATGAAAACAGACTGTTTATGACTAAAACTAGTGATTTTATTGTTGAAATGGTGTAATACACATAACAGTGACTTGTTACACAACACCTGGCAACCCTGTCCTGTACTGTGTTTTGGGACATATTTCATGAGGATTTATTGGCTTACACACAAAATCTTTACTTGTCACACAATTTCTGAAAGCTGACACTCAAACAGCTGAACCTCACACCAAATCTGCAAAACCATACGCTAATTCTCGGCCTTTGACTCAGTTTTCATTTTCATAAAACACTTTTTGCAAAACACAACACACAGTTCTCTATCTAACACACGAAAACATCTGTCTTGATTTCACTTTCAAACACAACTAATCAAAACGCCACATTAATTCATCACTAACTC